AATCCCCCCCCCCCCCCCCCCCTCTTTTTATGGTTCTAATGAGGCCATATTGAAGTTTCATTACTATCAGCGTCATCAACTTTCTTAAATGAATTTCTGATATGATCAGTGTTCTTTTTGCATTTATTGACAAGGCACTTTCGTCTGTGACTATATAAAGGAAATATCCAAACTGGAGTGCCTAGCGTTAAGACTTTCTTTGGTTTAAAGATTGCTAGAATGGAAATCTTCCCAAGATTAAGGTGGAGTTTTCGAAAATGGTGAAACATATACTCCAATGGACATCTTGTAATCATTCTCTAACAGATATCATTAGCTAGAAACTTAATTCTGATAGTTTGACCAGCGCAAAATTTTAAATCCTAAAATTTGATTCTCAAGAACCCACTTCTACCAAAGAGAGACCTCATTTTAATTTGTAAAATGTGGTTTGCATGCTATCATAGACACATCAGTTGCCTGCAATGAGTAGTTTCCTTTTTCCATATGGGTAGAGTTTGTTTGCGATTGTTTTTGTTTTCATTGAGAAATATATGTGATTGGTTTCATTTTTCACCCTGCGCTGAAACTGTATAGATTCTTTCTACTTCGTTAAGAAGAGATGCCGGCAGTAGCAAATATTTGGAGAATGATTCTTCAAGTGGTCTAGATGGTGAGAAAAGGTTGAATTTTGGAGATGATGATGAAAACATGGTTTCTAGCTCCGAAGGTCCACCAGTTCAGGGTTACACTCTCGACTATTCTGGTTTGAACTTTTCAAGAGATAAGCACCTCAGATATCGCACGAGAGTTTTTGCTGCTGAGTATGTGACCATACTTTTGCCTTTTTATCAATGATTCAAATTTTATTCATCTTAAATGAAATTATGCGAGAGGAACTGAACTTTTGCAAATATTTAAGGCAGATTCTTACTCAAAACTGAATAAGGGACTTCTGTTCATTTCTGTATGTGTGAGCTGTACATCCACTATTTTATTTCACATTTTTCCTTGCCCATAAATAAGCAGGAATTTGCCCCTAGCTATTCATTATCAAAATTGTGCCTGCAGATTATTTTTCCTTCATCTTATTGATTTATGGTTGTTTCGTTCCCAATGGTTGTCTCTAATTGTTACCACTCTTTCTTGCTATAATTGAGTTAATTTCATTTTATCTCTCATCTATATTTTCCTGAAGTCTTAATCTATCTATTAATTTAGTTAATTTCCTGGCACAAATAAATCATAATGTTGAATGTGACATAAGTGTGTTGAGATTTTAAGGCTAAATCACATTATTTGGTTTTATTTATTTTGAGAATTAAACTTCATTAGTTACATTATTTCTTCTCTTTAAACATGCTCCAAGAACTTAAATTCAACATCCATTTGAATGCCTAGGCAATCCAGAAAAAAGGGACAAAATGAAAAGACTAGAAGGTCAAAACGAAAACTGAAATTAAAAAGGCTAATTTTAGTTTGCTCGAATATGGTTGGCTCTACGGACCACGAGTTTTCTTTTTTCCTCAGTGATGGATGATAAACTATTTATGGACAAAATGTGGTCTGCATAAATTATATGGACAAAATGTGGTTCTAAGTTAATGGATATATTTTGTTGTACATTATGGTATAATTCAGACTCAGTATATTTTCTATAAAATTTATAGCATATAAGGATGGGAGTAAACTTTTTCTTTTGGAAGCGTGGACTTCAAAATCATAATCATTGACATGGAAAATGTTTTTTTAATTTTATATAGAAATTATTCAGCTGGTGATATTGGAAAAGGTGTTTTTGGGGAACTCTTTGGAAGGTCATTCTTCCTTAGATGTATCCACACCCTTACTTGTTTACCTTAAAAATGGATGATTGTCCAACAGAACATTATTGAGTTTGTAGAAATATCAAATGCCTTATTATGGTGTTTTGAGAATTTTAAAAAATATGATATGCATATATTAAAATTCTAATTTTTGTTGCATGTGAGGAAACAAGAAACTGTTACATTGCTTTTGCAATATGAGAATACAAGAGTCTCTGATTTATGCACTTTTTTCCTTTTAAATGAATGTTGTATACAATGACAAACATATTTTTCTGATGTATCACTATTCAAAGCAGTCTCTCATGCTATTACTGCAGACATTTTTAATTATTTGCATATAATGGATATTAGTTAATAGACAATTGGAATTAGGTGCTTAAACCATCTTCCTGGAGCAGTTGGAGAAAATCCTGCTCACTTTGACCTCTCTTTGGCAAGACAACAACCTGCTAAGGGACCATTTTCTGGAGATTGGCTGGTTCTTCAATTGCAAGAACTCATTTCTATTGCATATCAGGTGCTGAATGAAAAACAAATACTATAATCTTACTTGAGTCCTATGAATACTTCATATGTCATGAGTACCTCAAATCTGATCTCTCTCATGTAACTTCTTATAGATAAGTACGATTCAATTTGAGAACATGCGGCCTATTGGTGTTTCGCTTTTATGCACCATTATGGACAAGGTACCTCCATGTGGCATTCCTGTCGGCTTCGTTAGATTTCTGGATGGCAAAATTAATTTTAACTGCATAATGATCTTAAAGTTGCATTTCACTCTTCTGGTATACGTTTTTTTTGTATTAACAATTTGCTTTTATGTAAATATCTTGTGTCGTGTGAGTTACTGTAAAAAGATCTTAGGTTGACCTTCCTTGGTTATGATTCATACAAATTGTTATCAAGCATTTGAATATTGGTGCCTCTGTGTGTATGTGATCGTGTTAGGTGAACTATTCTTTTAATTAACTCTTCCTTTTATATAGAGTTGGTAAGTTTATACGTAAGTGTGTATGGGAACAATTAGAAAGGCTTCTGTAGAAAAGTTAGTGCAATTTTATGTTGACTTGTATTATGGGAATCCCAATAACAGTCAACGATGACTCTTGCATGGTGTCTCCGCTTCTGACTTTTGCTGGCTTGGTTACATGTTGGTCCCTAAGTCCAACATCTACATTATGTGGTTGTGCAACCTGGTGAGAGCTTATATGTTGGCTAGTGCAATGCTGAAAATATTGCTTAACTGGGGGTCCATGCGTTACTCATTCCGCACTTCTCCTTTTTCTGTTTAACTATTTAATCATCTTCATAATTTCATTGTAATATTGAGTTAAATATCTGTAACTTAGTGTATGTTTTTTTTTCTTGCAATCATAACATTTATAACCCTATTTTTTTTTTTTTTTTGGCACATGATTAGTTTGCTGCAATACCAGACCCTGAGCTACCTGATCACCTCCTCCTGGAACAGTATCAGGTTTTCTAATCAAACTTTGTTTTGAAAATTTTCTCTGCATATAGTTTTTTTGCATAAACTTTTATTTTTTGATTTTGTTGTTTCATGTTTACTATTAATGTCGCATAGTATGTTGCTTTATCTGTTGGAGTGAATTGATATGTAACTTTCTCGGCTCACTCCAGGCCCAACTGGTATCTGCGGTTCGGACTGCATTGGACTTGTTGTCAGGACCAACCCTTTTGGAAGCAGGCCTACTGCTAGCTACTAAGGTCTGTAGCACACGCATGTTTTTACTTTCTCTTCCATAGTGAATTGATTTTATTGATTCAAATGGTATGATGTGAAAATTTCAGATATTCACGAGTGGAATTATTAGTCGAGATCAAGTTGCAGTCAAGAGAATATTTTCATTGATTTCGCGTCCACTAGATGACTTCAATGACCTATACTATCCTTCATTTGCTGAATGGGTCTCATGCAAGGTTTATTCAATGTTATTTGCTCTGTATCACTTGATCTGGCATGTGGATAAAGAGAAAATTAGTGATAAAATCTCAGCGAGGCCTTCAATCATCAGTTGCTTACTGCATGTCTCTCTCTCTTTTTTTTTTTTCAGATCAAAATAAGGCTTCTGACTGCCCATGCCTCACTCAAATGTTACACATATGCTTTCCTAAGAAGACAAGGAGATGAGATATCTGATGAGATTATAGCACTGCTACCTTTATTTTCTAAAAACTCGAGTACACTGGGAATTTATTGGCTTGCTCTTTTGAAGGATTACAGCTATGTTCGCTTCCGCCTGTATTCTAGGAAAAATGTGAGCCCAAAGTTTTTAAATTTTATTTATATTCTGCAACTAAAGGAAAAATAATTATGGCTCCTCTCATTAAACTTTTGCATATTTTTACTTGTGTGACTTACAGTGGAAACCATTTCTTGATGGAATTCAATCATCAGTAGTTTTAGCTAAGTTGCAGCCATGTTTAGAAGAGGCCTGGCCATTGATTCTGCAAGCACTGGCACTGGATGCATTTCCCGCAAATTTGGATGTGAATGGATCTTCCACAAGTTATGATAGACTAAAAAATATCTCCACTTCTGGATACAGCATGGTTGAGTTGGGATTGGCTGAATTTCAATTTCTGTGGGGTTTCTCCCTACTAGTTCTATTTCAGGAGCAAGATATGACTCGTGGTGAACGTATAATACCAGCGAGCTTTATAAAATCCAAATTCGGCAGCGACATCCTTGTTGAAGATGCAAATTCTCTGTCTTCAGAGTTATATAACGTTTTATTATCTGTATTTCAATTTATGTCCACCGAAAGATTTTTCACTGCAGGATTTCTCACTTTGGATGCTTGCAAAGAATTATTACAGGTATGTGTATTTGTCTAAATTTCATTCCATTTTATCGCATATGAAAAAAAGTATCTTTTCATCAATAGTTCTATCAATTTTCATTATTTAACATATTGGAATCAGCAGGGATATACTCAAGTAATGTTTTTTCTAACAATTAATCTATCAATTTGTCTAAAATGGATGCAGGTCTTTTCATATTCCATTTTCATGGAAGATACATGCTATAGTTTTTCAGTCTCTGTCTTGTCGCAGGTATTGACTACAGCTTCTTGCTTGAGTTAGTGTAGATTGATAGAACATTATAACACAAACTAATTTAAAAGTAAAAAGAAATGAATAAATGTTGAAGCAAATGTCAGCCCTGGAATTTGGTCTTCCTATGTGGAATGACATTAGAAATTATCAAGACTTTTGTTAAAATCATTTTCATGAAACAATCTCTCATGTTTTTCTGTTTCAAACCATGGTTTAAACTTCTTTCATTTTTTGGGTGGCCTTAACAGATTGTGCACAACTGCCCCAAGGATTTCCTTGAAGTAGAGAATTTTTCATATTTGGCATCTGAACTGTGTTTGACTTTTCTTTTTAAATTCTTCCAAAGGTACCTGTTCTTGTTAAATCATTTACTTTTGGCAATAAAGGTAATCCATGAAGCAATGTTTTAAATAATAGTTTATGTTGTTATGTGTTCGATATTTCATAATTTCAGGATTTAATCCGTGCATCTGTGACACAAGGTCAGAACCCAACACCAGCGTCATCCTCACTTCCACCATCCTTAGTGATAAAGTTACCTTCACAGACAGAGGAAAATAAAGAGAAAATTTCCTCTCCATTAGCTGCTCCAAAAGAGTCTGATGACATTTCTGAGGAAGAGGAAGAGGATGATGATTGGGATGCTTTCCAGTCTTTTCCGGCTTCCAGAAATGAAGCTGTTCCGACACCAGAAAGAGGCTCCTGTGTTTTCCAGTGATGTAAATTCTCAATACTCTTCAAATTGGGAGAAGACGATTTCCGTCCTGCTTGACATAGCAGAAACTTTATTGGAACGTTTTGAACCTCAGGTAGATGTACACATATATCACGGTGTATGACTAGTATTTTTAGTGCATGTTTTGTATAAAATATTAGATCATACCAAACAGTACAATCTTTGATGCTCGGACTCTTCGAAATGGTTGGAGTACCCGTGTCGGACACGACACGACACGACACGACATGAGTATGGGTATGGATATGCCTCGGATCTTCCAAATTTAAACCGGACACTACGCCCTTTTTTACTTCTTTTTTCTTTTCCTTTTCTTTCCCGTTTCCTATAAATGAAAACTAAACCCCAAAATTGTATTTTATTAGTCTTAACATCTTATTTAATACTCATTTCCTTTTTTGTGAACTTTTGATTTTGGTCTATTCAAAATGACATCTTGGGTTAATAAAAAAAATTGAAGCTTGAAAGACGTACCCACGTATTCATGTCTGAAATTTGGATTCTTTTTAACCATGTCCCCGTATCCTACATTTTAGAAAATAAAAGATCCGACGCTTAGATACGTACCCGATACCCGTACCCGAGTCCGAGCATCATAGAGTACAATGACCAAACTTTTGCTTAGTTTTATTTCTTAATAATGTCTAATATAGATTCACCTTACCAAAAATGCCATTCTGGCAGTCCTCTTCTCTGTTATTTCTTACACCTTCTCTTATAAATATGCTGTGTATTGAAAGATTACCGTGTTTCTTTCCCATAACTCGTGTCAGTTTTTGAATAAAAATTTCATGTCATGCAGATGCAGCTAAAATTATTGTTGCCTTTTCTGTCGATTAGTTACAAGTGCATAGGAAAATCATCAGCTGAGTTGTGCCTTTCAAGAGCTAACAACTTCGTGAAGTCAATCATTTCTTTGTTAAAGAGATGTGGTGAGTACCCAGTATCTCTTTGGTTTATGGGACCACGTAAAGGAATTCATTCCTCAATCTTCTGGCTGTTCGGACCCCAGTGGGAACTTGTGTCTTTCTACTGCAGTCATTTACTTTTGTGATAGCCATTTCTGCACAACTGCAGTTGGTACCACAACTGATCTGTCTGAACTATTGAAGCTATGTCGTTGTTCCATTACAATCATATTCATCAAAAATTAAGTAATCCTGAATTTCATGAAAAATTTGTTGTAAAATTTGGATATGACGTCATTTACTTGAAATGGGATTTACATTTACATTTAATGTAGAGACGGAAACACTAAAGAATGATTCAGCTTTCCATTACTCTTGACTCACCTCTGTTCTTAAACATGTCCTTTGGGGTTTGTTCATTTCACTGGAATTGAGACTTACAATGTTTCAGGCCAATAATATGTTTTCTTTTAACTGATCGTGGTTGGAGATAAATCATATTTTGAACGATCAAATTAGTCGAGTACAAATCATCATACAACTCCAGAACTGAAAAAAT